GATCTTCTGCTGCAGTCTACAATCGATGGTAAGCCATTAAGCAATGAGGATATACGGGAAGAAGTAGATACTTTCATGTTTGAAGGACATGATACGACCACTAGTGGTCTCGCTCACACTTTATATCTGCTTGCTCGTCATCCCAACGCACAACAGAAGGCCTACGAAGAAGTTCAACAAGTGTTAAACAAATCCAAAACTGAACCGATTACTATGAAAGACTTGCAAAACTTAAAGTATTTGGAATGTGTCATTAAGGAGGCATTGCGTTTACATCCTTCAGTGCCTTTAATAGCACGTGTTTCAGAGGGAGAATTTAAAATCGGTTAGAAGTAGTTTTGGGTGCGTTCAGATTTTTCCCTTTTATCTAACTTTGTGTCTTTTAGGAGATTTTACTCTGCCGCGCAATACTCATGTAATTCTGTCCTTGTATGCTGTCGGTCGGGATCCTAAATATTTTTCGAATCCTGATGACTTCCTGCCCGAGCGTTTTCTATCGGAGAATACAACAAAAATGCATCCATTTGCTTTTGTCCCCTTCAGTGCCGGTCCACGTAATTGTGTGGGACAAAAATTTGCTATGCTTGAAATGAAAATGATTATCGGCAAAGTATTGCGAGATTATGAAATATTGCCTTTGGGACCCGATATTATGCCAATAATGTCTTTAATTTTACGTTCAACAACAGGTATGAATCTGGGTCTAAAACCACGCGCATAATACATATATTATATAGCAAATAATTGATATCCAGATATGCATAATAATAAAATAGGTGTAGGTGGTTTTATGTTCGTGGAGACTTATATTTTTCCGCTTTCCTCCTATCATATATAATATAATTTAATTATTATTTATTTATTAAGTAGGAGCACTTCCGTAGAGATGAACTAGAAAAATTAAGAGCTGAAATGATAATTTTAATGTAAATGGGAAAGAACTTTAACTTAAAATAAAAATTATTCGCATTCATTTAATATGTCGAAGTGTCATTTTTCACCAATTTTTCCCGAAATTTATTAAATAATAAAAATTTTTTTGATATAACGATTTCTTTCCAATGCGGCAGGGTGTGGAGAGTGGTCGCTAAAATGTTTCCAATCTATGTATTTTTAATAGAGTTTGTCGTGAATCTTATCTTGAATAAATTGAAATTTGCGATCGCAAAAACATTTGGTTAAGCGTGTGGTGGCAGTACAGAGAAAACTTCAAGGCACTTTCAAGCCCGGCTTGCTACCTTTCATCAAATCTAAAAACGATAAGTAGAAAATTTAATGAACATTATTTTACAAATTTGTTACTTTTTTTTTAGGAATGGGAGAGAAGCTTGTTACTGACGAGTACAGCAGCTAGTCTTGGACGGAAAGCTCGCTTTTTCAAATAAAAGTTTTGAGTTAACAAATTTTTGGAAATATAGTGTTCGAATTGATAGAAATCGTTTCTTTATCAATCGATTTAGAATCGAATAATTTTGTGAATCAATTTAACCTTGTCCGTCAGTGTTGAAATTAAGAATGAATTGGACTGAATCGCCTTTGCCCGCCACTCCCCATATGACGCTTTATTTTAGAACTTTCGTTATATGAAAAAAAAATTACAATATTCAAGATTTCTTGATCAAAAAGTACCGGTTATTTATTGACACACCCAATATAAAATGCAATAAAAACAATATTTTATTTAAAGTATGTTCATCGTATTTTTGATTGTGTTTTGCGAATTGGATGAATCGACAGTTGGCAGGTAAAAAAGTGTCCTTGTGTTGTTTTCTTTGATATTCAAGCCATTTTTCTAACGGCGGACTATTCAGATCGATTAGCTGTTGTTTCAACTTTTCCATCAGATTTTCTCCATCTGATTACACCAAACGTAGACTATCGATTTTTTACTATAGCGATTTGGTTTTGCCGATGCAGTTATTTATTTTTCACTTGGACTTCTCAAAACAAATCCGCTTCTCATCTCATCCTTTTGTATCCTTCAAGGCAAAAACAAATACAGCTATCGACGAGTACCCTTTTTTTACCGCAAATTGTGAGAAGTGGAAAAAGGGAATGCTGTAGAGAGGTGGTCGCTTAATGGGCTTCTAAGTGCTCACCGGCTATGCTTTTAGTGACGGGACACTTACCGCACTGAAATTTGAATCCGCGAATAGTGAAGTATTAGTCGGCTACTCTTGCTCATTTAATGAGCAATATTTGCACGGCTTCCAGAAAAAGTTTCTTTTCATTTCTGAATCTGCAGCAATTAGAAAAAACAAAATCTTTAGCAGAATATTTTGGTAAGTAATTCGTTAATTAATTTCTCGAAAATAATGATGAGAATTGTTTTAGGATAACGGTATATGAAGCTTAGTCCTATAATAATGCACATATATGGAAAAGATTAGCCACGCCTATCCAATATCAAAACATGCTTCTTTTCTAGTTTCATTAAGAAGTAAGTGTTCCTTTAATCTGTCATTAAGAACAGTGATGAGGTGGGCGCAAAAAAGATACGGTCAAAGTGAAATATCATTTTCTTCTTTGCTTAATTATTTATTAAAAATCATAAAAATCATCATCATTAGGCCTTGCATTACGCTTGCATTTTAATCGTATCCATTTATGACTTACACTTGCTTGGTATATTGAAAGCTTTAAAACGTTTCCATTCTTGATAGCGATATAGGACTTAAAAAGCAAATATATAAAGTTAAAGTTTATCAGCAAAAAGCAAGTTTAAAATAAAAATTAATCTTGCTTTCGTTATCTCTACGTTTCACTTATATCGATTCCCAAAATATTACTTATCACTTCATTCGTCTTGTTATATGCACTTTTCTCCAAACCGATCCCGAAAAATTGAGTGTAGAAAGAGAGAGAGAGAGCTTAAGAGAGCGTGAGAGAGTTAGAGTGAGAAAGAGTTTGGGAGAATGCTGATTTAACAATTCGCAATTCCTTTACTATCTCTCAAAGTAACAAAATTAATATGTGTGCCGTCGATAATCAGTCAAATGAAAGCAAGAAAGAAACAAGTTACTTATGGCTTGCGTCGAATCTATTAACACTCAATGCAAAACTATAAACGATATTTGTTTGTAAGCCACATACTAAAAATCCATTCACTTCGTATATATTGATCTCATATCGTTTAGTACATTTTGTATATCGTGTAAACTTGATACGATTTCCACCACTTGAGAGGAATTTTGTATATTAAAAAAAATTTGTTTATAGAATCCATCTTTTTTTTTAATATATATATAAAATTATTTTGTTCGAAATTTTCATTGAATTTAAGTTTATTTTCGATATTAGGACGAACTTGTTATTGAGCCAGTTATATATATGATACTTAAGGCATAAAAGTAAACACTGATCACTTCTTTTTAAATTTAATAATATAAAAGACAAATAAAATCATTATAGTCGGGCAAGGCCGACCATTACATACCCCACACCACATTGTCTAACACAATTCTCATTTTTGTATGAAATTATTATTATGGGTCTATTTTCATTATCATATAGTAAAACTTGGACTTTTCTGGTCTACAAAGTATCAGTTTCCGTGAAAATTCTTATTCAGTTAGAATCTAAAAAATACATCGAAATAGTCTAAATTTGGTATAATCAATTTTTTTAA